GAAGCACAAATATATACTCCATGCTCTTCATCGCCCTCATTTTTAACACATCTTCTGTTTTCCTCTGAATTGTTCCTAGTCTTACATCGACTTTGAAATTGTAGTAATGTCTCATTTCTTACACACAGAAATACGCTGACAACTCGACAACACAATCCACTCTTTCAAGATATATTTCATTTTTTATTCAAAATAGCAAAACTTTGAATTGACCCCGACGTGATTTGAACACGCAACCTTCTGATCTGGAGTCAGACGCGCTACCGTTGCGCCACAGGGCCGTCTGATAAGGCAGAGGACTATAATGTACTTGAAGCACAAATATATACTCCATGCTCTTCATCGCCCTCATTTTTAACACATCTTCTGTTTTCCTCTGAATTGTTCCTAGTCTTACATCGACTTTGAAATTGTAGTAATGTCTCATTTCTTACACACAGAAATACGCTGACAACTCGACAACACAATCCACTCTTTCAAGATATATTTCATTTTTATTCAAAATAGCAAAACTTTGAATTGACCCCGACGTGATTTGAACACGCAACCTTCTGATCTGGAGTCAGACGCGCTACCGTTGCGCCACAGGGCCGTCTGATAAGGCAGAGGACTATAATGTACTTGAAGCACAAATATATACTCCATGCTCTTCATCGCCCCTCATTTTTAACACATCTTCTGTTTTCCTCTGAATTGTTCCTAGTCTTACATCGACTTTGAAATTGTAGTAATGTCTCATTTCTTACACACAGAAATACGCTGACAACTCGACAACACAATCCACTCTTTCAAGATATATTTCATTTTTATTCAAAATAGCAAAACTTTGAATTGACCCCGACGTGATTTGAACACGCAACCTTCTGATCTGGAGTCAGACGCGCTACCGTTGCGCCACAGGGCCGTCTGATAAGGCAGAGGACTATAATGTACTTGAAGCACAAATATATACTCCATGCTCTTCATCGCCCTCATTTTTAACACATCTTCTGTTTTCCTCTGAATTGTTCCTAGTCTTACATCGACTTTGAAATTGTAGTAATGTCTCATTTCTTACACACAGAAATACGCTGACAACTCGACAACACAATCCACTCTTTCAAGATATATTTCATTTTTTATTCAAAATAGCAAAACTTTGAATTGACCCCGACGTGATTTGAACACGCAACCTTCTGATCTGGAGTCAGACGCGCTACCGTTGCGCCACAGGGCCGTCTGATAAGGCAGAGGACTATAATGTACTTGAAGCACAAATATATACTCCATGCTCTTCATCGCCCTCATTTTTAACACATCTTCTGTTTTCCTCTGAATTGTTCCTAGTCTTACATCGACTTTGAAATTGTAGTAATGTCTCGTTTCTTACACACAGAAATACGCTGACAACTCGACAACACAATCCACTCTTTCAAGATATATTTCATTTTTTATTCAAAATAGCAAAACTTTGAATTGACCCCGACGTGATTTGAACACGCAACCTTCTGATCTGGAGTCAGACGCGCTACCGTTGCGCCACAGGGCCGTCTGATAAGGCAGAGGACTATAATGTACTTGAAGCACAAATATATACTCCATGCTCTTCATCGCCCTCATTTTTAACACATCTTCTGTTTTCCTCTGAATTGTTCCTAGTCTTACATCGACTTTGAAATTGTAGTAATGTCTCGTTTCTTACACACAGAAATACGCTGACAACTCGACAACACAATCCACTCTTTCAAGATATATTTCATTTTTTTATTCAAAATAGCAAAACTTTGAATTGACCCCGACGTGATTTGAACACGCAACCTTCTGATCTGGAGTCAGACGCGCTACCGTTGCGCCACAGGGCCGTCTGATAAGGCAGAGGACTATAATGTACTTGAAGCACAAATATATACTCCATGCTCTTCATCGCCCTCATTTTTAACACATCTTCTGTTTTCCTCTGAATTGTTCCTAGTCTTACATCGACTTTGAAATTGTAGTAATGTCTCATTTCTTACACACAGAAATACGCTGACAACTCGACAACACAATCCACTCTTTCAAGATATATTTCATTTTTATTCAAAATAGCAAAACTTTGAATTGACCCCGACGTGATTTGAACACGCAACCTTCTGATCTGGAGTCAGACGCGCTACCGTTGCGCCACAGGGCCGTCTGATAAGGCAGAGGACTATAATGTACTTGAAGCACAAATATATACTCCATGCTCTTCATCGCCCTCATTTTTAACACATCTTCTGTTTTCCTCCGAATTGTACCTAGTCTTACATCGACTTTGAAATTGTAGTAATGTCTCATTTCTTACACACAGAAATACGCTGACAACTCGACAACACAATCCACTCTTTCAAGAAATATTTCATTTTTATTCAAAATAGCAAAACTTTGAATTGACCCCGACGTGATTTGAACACGCAACCTTCTGATCTGGAGTCAGACGCGCTACCGTTGCGCCACAGGGCCGTCTGATAAGGCAGAGGACTATAATGTACTTGAAGCACAAATATATGCTCCATGCTCTTCATCGCCCTCATTTTTAACACATCTTCTGTTTTCCTCTGAATTGTTCCTAGTCTTACATCGACTTTGAAATTGTAGTAATATCTCATTTCTTACACACAGAAATACGCTGACCACTCATCAACACAATCCACTCTTTCAAGATATATTTCATTTTTTATTCAAAATAGCAAAACTTTGAATTGACCCCGACGTGATTTGAACACGCAACCTTCTGATCTGGAGTCAGACGCGCTACCGGTTTTTTTATTAGCATTTATTCACAATGTCTAATGATTACAGGTGCAGATAGTGCTGACACCACCACCCAAATAAAAAAGAGTTATCACAGAGTTTACGTGGCAGCGACTAACAGTTCAGTTCTAAAGGCAGGACAGATTTTCAATAGTATTTTTTACAGTTTTATGACAATATGCAAATATGACTATACAGCACATTTTAAGTGAAACCTGTTTGGCTCCTTAGAAATATATACTTACCGATGAAAAGCACCCTAATCTATCGGATCGTTGAGAACAACCTCATTTCCGTCCAACTCCATGTTTGTTTCGGTCATAATGTATTTTTTAATAAAGATGTGTGATTGATTTACTTTCGAATATTTAAACAGTAAAAATCTAAAATGGCGCTTTATTATAGACTTGTATAATGCCCTCACATCAAATGAGATGGTGTTGTGACTTTTCATTATAACTTTCCTTCTAAATACAGACAGACGATATATTGACAATACAATATCTATGAATGGTTTACATGATAATTTCTTTTCTGGTAGGAATCCGAACAATAACCAGAGTGACAGCTGTCCAAAGGTAAATTCTGAATCATGACACGTCTGTCAACATTTCAATTACTAGTGATTGCAAGGAAGATAACTCTTTGCAATAGATGAACAGATGTAAAATGTCTTCTGTTTCACTTAGACACTGGGCAAACATCTGTGTTTGACAGTCCAAGAGTTTTTCATATGTAAAGACAATATTATGAGCTACAGTTGCGCCACAGGGCCGTCTGATAAAGCAGAGGACAAATGTATGTTCCATGCTCTACATCACCTTTTCACACAACACCTTCTGTTTCCCATACCCACGTTCCGTCTGTAATCCGTGGCATGACGTACGCACAGTTTAGTTTGAATTCTTCCACAACATTCAGAGGCTAGAGAATGATCAACCGTTCTTCAGTTTTCAATATCAGGTGTGTTAGCTTCATGTGTTAAAATAAGTTCATTGTGCAAAAAGTACGCGATAAGTGACATCACATTTCATGCAAAGTGCTTTGCTACCATGTTCATTGAACATTATGCTTAGAGATCATAGTCGTATTTTATCCAAATTTAGATGCGGTATTTTACCCTTGTTCATTGAAACCGGCAGATATGACAAGCCACCTGTTCCTCTTTTACAAAGACATTGTAAATATGGTTATTATAAATGATAATGATTGCCATATGCATATAGTTGAAGGGGGAATTTCTTTTTTAATGAAATGTTATTTTTATGAGGATTTACGTTTTATCCTATTTGAAGCTGTAACCATCTATTTTATAACTTTATATGATACCAACAAGTTTAGTTCTTATGAAAGAAAAAGCCGCAAAACATTTTAGCCTCTTCACTTCTTAAATAAATATGTTAAGACGGGAAATGTCCTTGACATGATTTATGTACATCTTATATTTATATCTTTATTACCGCATGTATGTTGTTAGTGTCTCATAAGCCAGTTTGTGGCTCGACGCACGGTTTCTACTGTTGTATCATGTATTGTGTGTACAAATATACTACTTTCTTTATAAGGTAATTTCACAAATAACGTTTATTTTATGTGGTTTTATGTAATACACAATTGTTTCCGTTAGTAACTTAGTATGATATACATTTCATGCGAAATGCCTTGCTACACGGTTATTTAGGGTTGTTTTTAAAATAACGTTTATTTTATGCAATTCTATGTTATGCAGTTACTTTTTTCCGGTAGTATATGAGGGTGTGATATGATTGTCTTTGTTGGTACTAATGACCATTCGTGATGATGCAATTTCAAAAATTCTTGTATTTCTTAGATTTGACAAAGAACCTGTGTTCCATCATTCATTAATACCTTCCATTTATGTAATCAGTCTTAGTTGTTGGTGCTTCCTTCATTTTCATTACTGACAGCCTTGAAAGCAACACTCTTGCTTGACAACGGGAAAAGAAGCTATACCGAAACGTCGCATCATAATAAATAAAGAAGTTATTATCCATAAAGTATTATACTTTTCTATTATCCATCATTTCTATCAATGCCAATCAAACAGAGTAGCTTAAATTAAGTACAGCAATGTTTGTCATAAATCCAAGAATAAACCGGCACATCTAATTTATCAAAGTTGATTGTCGATCAGGCACACATCGCTAATAGCATATTCGTTATGGCCACATCGTGTAATAAACATGCCATAACCAAAGAAGTTTGAGACAGAAAAACAGACACAATTTCTCAGATTTGTATTTTATATTAAAAGTTGTAATTTCAACTTTTTTCATAAATATTTGACATGGTGACAAAAAATATATATATACAGAAGTCAGAGGGCACGTCTCGTTTCTTATTTACATACTTTGTGTACCCCGGACAAATACAACGCAAATCACAAAAGGCCACGTGTCCTTGAAATCACTTTAGCTGCATTCCTCGCTGACAGTCACATACAGACACTAGCACAACAGTCGTACTGCACAACACAGAGTGAATGTTCTTTTGCACATAACCTCCGTAAATAAAATCTCATATTGCAGACTACGGGTGTAAAACGGATGAGTCGCATTGTCTATAAATCTCCTTTGTTCTCGTTATAAAGTCAATTTCTTTCTCACAAACTAATAGTCATTTTCACATTTGGTCACAGGAAGTGGTGAATGCGCATGTGCCATAGAGACCGGAACTTGTACGTGACTAGAGAGAACGGATGAGGTTGGTGAATGGTGTTCTGGCTTCGTTTCATACATGGAATGTGATGGTACGAGAAGCTGATGCTGTGACGTCACAGGGGGGAGGTTGGGCATCGTGGGGGAGACCTGAGAGTACTGTTGGGGGATACCGGACATCTCGGAGGGGGAGTCAGGGGAGAGCTTGTCAGTGCTGTCCTTCTTCTTGTTCTGTTTCCTTTCCTTGGCCCGACGGTTCTGGAACCAGATCTTGACTTGTCTCTCGGACAGTTGGAGTTGGTTGGCGAGCTCGGCTTTACGGCGTATGGTGATGTAACGGCTGTAGTGGAACTCTTTCTCCAGTTCCAGACGCTGGTGATCGCTGTACACAACTCGGTACTTGTCTTTGGTGCGTGTCTTACCTACAATATAGAATATGAATATAAGAACAAACATAAAATCCAATAGACACGACAGCATAAAAACGAGGAATCAGGAAATTTGTGTAATAAATTTTGTGGCGTCTTGGAAAGTTCATTGGCAGGGCCCAGCTCAGCAAATGTTTGTTCTGAGCGTTGTCCCACTTAAGCGTTATATTGCCGCCACGCGAACACACCACAGATTTCTCTTTGACAGGGCAGAGTAGTTCTGACTTTTGTACACAGGGCTAGATTAGATTTGTAATTGTAGTTGTAGTCCAATATCGATTTCAGCGGGCTATCACCAACCATCCGGTGCAGCGTACACGGCATTCCACGGTAATCCACCCCTACACCATCACCCGGAGACCGGGGGTCATGCTTTCATTTGACACATCGCACACAGAAGCCTCTCGCTTGATCTCAGGATGAAAGAACAGGCAACTAACGATTAGGGTTAAATCTTCACAGAAAACGGCGCCGCGTTTACACCTCTAGTGTCCGATTGAGCACACATTTTTTACATAAAAATACGAAAAATAACTATCTGATGGAAAGCAAATCAGTTGACATCCTATGTCAAGCAACAGAACATGTTCAAACCACTGTTGGTCTTTCAAGCTTCTTCTATAACACTATGCTTCGTGCTTCTACCGCCATTCTTACCCTATAAATCTTTACGTAGAAATCTTGTTGGTAATCGTATCACCGGATGGTTTTTTAATAGATTCACGCTTGAAACATGTGTCATTGCATCTTGACTCTATCATAGAACGCGGGTGTGAGATTTGCAAATAACCACTTCGCCCGAAGTTCACCCTACCCTTGTAGATAAGAACCATGTCCCTCTCCGGGGTGGTTGGGGTATTACTATGTTGAAGCGGGTATACCCAACATGGTCCGCGTGACAAAGCTTTCTAGATATAGTGTATTTCGCCAAGATCTTCTGGTACAAGTATGACACGTGTAAGTCTTACAAATTGATGAATAGTTGCTATGGCTTGCAGAAAGAGTTGGCGAGGTTCTGCTATCTCACAGAGTTGATACTGACGATGAGTAGCCATGATAGTTCACGGATCATGGGGTGTGATCTTGATGGATTAATCCTGATTAGCGTAAACGTTGATCAGCTCAAAGATTAAATGGATTAAAGCAAGATTTGGCGTTAATTAACTAAGAATTGGCAATGACGATGTCTGGGAAGAGATTAGGACAATAAACAAAGAATGGATAAATTTAAAATGAAAACAAAACGGTAATGATTGTTTAGTCCCAGACAGTCTGACTACAGCTAATCAAGTTTCTGGCTCAAATCCATACCGTTATGACTTGAAGGGGTTGGGGGGTTTTAAAATGTGACGAATCATTCTACGAATGAATAAGCGGATATTCCTATTTCATGTACCGAGTTACCATTATCAGTCAGAAATATTTCCCCATTTCTTTCCATACTCCCACCATAAGGCATACCCGGCAATGTCATCAGAACGCAGATTGCTCACACAACCTCGCCGTATCGTTTGATGTCTCCATAAGTTTTGTCCAGTTCAACACATTAGCATCACACTGTGAAACTTTTAGAAATTCAATTATACCCTGACAAGCTTGTAAATTTTCTGGGTGTTATATGTATAATGAAAACGAGCTTCTAATGACGGTGAGAGGGGAACTCCTAGAGCGAAAATCAACATTCCGTGAATGTTTGCGGTATTCTTTAAAGCTGCACGAAGACTTAGCAAACAATGGAAAAGTCACGATGCAAGATTCCTTATTGTAACTGATTAAAGTTTACACTGTACATACATACTACGCAGAGGACTAGCATTTGGACAATCAGGTACCCGCCCACTCCACCCCTAATGAGGTTCAAATGACTCCAGCGTTACGAGTTGGCAATGCATCGCTACCTTTACCTACGTTAACAAAGACAGCAAAGTCACAGATCGATACGCCCGGGTGAGGTCACTCCACAGGACGCGGTCACTTCAAAGATTACGATCACCTAGTTCTTTAACCCTTTGACCCATCAATAAAATATTACTTAAACAGTGTACTTAAAAACACATTGGCAAATTATCGTGAGAAATCGGGATTTGGTCCGAAAAATGAGGTAATGTTTGCAGTAGATATGGACAAAGCTGATAGTGGTTAAAGATATAGATCTTGTTCACCTTCACAAAATAAACAATTGCATGTTATGTAAATAAAAGCTGGGTTATGATTATTTCTTTCCTTATTAATAAGTTAATATTTATTTAAATATTTCCTAGTCGGTACGGTTTTCTTAATTTCAGACAAACTACTAAAATATAACAATTTGTGACGAAATATACACATATAAGTGTCAGATTGGTGGTGGGTGACAGAATAGTTGGGGGTAATTAGCACACCTGTGTCAGGTGAAAATGAGGCGCAGAGGGGCAGTAAACAGGAAGGTGTATGATAGGAAACATTGCGGTGTGCGCAAGAGATTCCCTCGACACGCTTCATTGAGGGGATTAGTGTTATTGAGAGAGAAAGGTGCCCTAAGCAAGATGATATGGAATTGTAAAAATATTGTTGTTTATTTCTGAAAGGCGTGTTGATCCCGATTGTAAAGTGATTAAGAAGCCCCTGATGATGGAGACAGACACTAACTACACTGTCGCGACTCCCTGATTAACGGGATTAACCTTCTTCAACCATGATTGGATTAACAAAAATGTTATTTTGCTACACTTTATTTTTGTGGATAGTTCATTTGCGTTTTTCATTTTGCCCAAATTTTCGATTTTGAAATTCAAAATAGCGGTAGCATAAAAAAAAAGTTATGAAAGATTGTTCTTATATAAGTAAGTGGTATGTGTTCAATACTTGACAGCACTGTAAAGCATCAAGTATAATAAAATATATTATCTACGATTAGCCAGTTTTCAAAATAAGGTGAACAAGATTCTGTTCATTCAGTATTTTAGTATAGCATTATTATTATAACCTATTCTGCCTGGATCTCAGGTGTGGGTTCACTTTCTCAATAAAATTTGAACATAAATACTTACCAGGAGCCGGGGCTTGTTGTGAACATTTCATCCATTCGAAGGGAGCTCGGAGCTGCTTGGCATTGTTGCCACCCCCGGGACTGAGGCTTGCTGTGGTGCCGGGTGGTGAACATGAATCCTGTGGGTGAGGGTTGTCAAGGACTGTAAGGTGTGGACTGTCCGCCTGTGTGACGACTGGTTGGGGGTATCCCGTCTCGTGGGTACGGTAGGAGAAGTTGTAGGGTCCCTGTTGAAGGGTGGCGGTCGTGGTTGTGGGGACAGTGTAGGCCTGACCCCAGTCGTCCATCCCTCCATGTGCAGGACGGGGTGCGCTGCCGTACATCCACGACTGTTGAAGAGCGCTAGGGTCGGTCATAGCGTACTGTCCATATTCCTGACCGTACCCTCCCTGGGTAGGGTACCCAAAACTTGGGTAGCTGTATGTGTTTGGCGAGGGTCTGGAAGCGAACATCGCGGCACTATTCTCGTGACACAGGGCCATTCTGGTCTGAACAGTCTCAGCTTTGGGGTTATGATGTACGGGAGCTGACCCGACAAAATATCAACAAGTCACTTGTGAAAGCTCCAAGAAACTGACGATACGGAAATATTTTTCCAGGTTTTCCTTGTGTCGGGAGATACAAGATTAAAATCTGATATATCAAATATCGACTTGCGTGTTCAACCTGTCACTGATAAATCCTTGTTGTATCGAATGTAAGTACAGACTGATGGTCCGACCCGCTATTTACATGCTGGATATGGGTGCAAGCTCCGCCCCGATTGCTGCATAAGCCCCGCCTCCTGGCGTTATCGACCAATCAACGCGCGGCGACAGCTGGCTGGCCAGGCCGACAGTATGTCTGAGGTAGGTGTTTATTTCAGTGGGCAAGAGTGTGAACGTGCTGTGGCAGCCACTGACACCAGTTTCCGTGATGTACTGTCAATATTTTAGGCTATCTCCGTCCGAGACGTGTACCTCGGCTACATTTTTACAACCCTAGACAGTCGTGTTGATTGACATCCGATGACAGGTTGTGATTTTTAGCAATCGACATAACATTCCCGGATACATCACCATCATTTTTATCTAAAAATGAAATTATGAATTTTGAAATAAATAAAACTTCAAAAGAAAACAAAAAGAGAAGCTTTATATTATATTTAGCATATAAAACCTAGACAACCAATGAATCTGCGCTAAGCGCAAACAGAAAAAGCATTATATTTTCATGTTTAATAAAGCACAGTAGATCAAAATACGAAATGAATTAAACGCTGATGGACTGAACCCACTGTCTAAATACTCCTCTACCTGTAACCTGGAGGTTACACGAGATTCAACAGACACTACATAATTGCAATATATTTCATGCTGCATAAGAACCAATTTACCTCTTATTCCACATTGAACACAGTCAACAAAGATCCAATTCAATATCTCCGTGTATATTATTTATCATTTTTATGGTTTCCAGTTTTGAAATAGTATGCAGCTGAGAGAAATCGGATGGTCCTATTAATATTATTATCAGTTTGTCTACATCGACAGATATGTTTGTAAGTAGAGCCATTCAGATGAATATCATGTTCAATGATCGTTCATACTGATTTATATACATTTTGTTTAACCTAAAATCATGGATTCCGACAGTTCAATATTAATACAAAGTTTACACATAATTAACCATCCTCTGATCTAAACAAGACTCTTTTTCTCATTTCAATAAAACATCCACGCGTGCACAGTAGTAAACAGTTAATTTATAATAGTCAAACTCATCTCAGCTCTTCGGTTAGCTCGTAAATAGTGTAACCTTTAGATTTAATTATTTCTACGAAGCGATTAATTTCACCTCATGAACCCTGCAAGCTGAAGTAAATAAATTTGTCTATAACACGGGGTCCATATACTATAATCTCTTGTGTACAGCGTCGGGCTGGAATAAACCCCCATAAAATTGTCGCTTCATTTCGTTATAGTACCTTCGGACAATGATGAACGGGGCTGTGGTGTAAATTTCCAATAAAGGTCGATTCGTTGTGTCGAGTGGGAAATTTATATATGTTTTTACTTCACCCTGTCTCGATATGATACATCGGGGAATATATTTCAGAAGAATTTTGATTGCAGAAATCTTCAAATTAATGTGAACGAAATGGAGCACTGAATTTAAAAAAAATATATTTCCCGGTTCCAATCACTTGTTATTGCTTGGGGACGTTGTAAATCTACCTTTACATAAACCCAAGAAAAAGCTAAAGGATCATGAACACTCCTGTCGATAAGACGCACAGGTGCACAGTTTAATTTTCTGTTAACGTCGGCCACCATCAGAGACTATATATACTTCTTTTCAAAAGTTTAGACTCAATGAATACACTCACTATATGTTTTGTGTATATGTACATATGGTTACATCGAAGATTGATTTCTCCACTAACTTGGGGGAACCAACTGCAAACTTTATGCAGATGAACTGCACGAGGATCTTTCATCAAATTGCTGAGAAACATGTGCAAATATCGTGCATGTGAACAGCTGCGTTGTGGTGTAAAGATTTGTTACGAATTCGCTGATTTTCATCATTTACCAAGCTCATGTCAATACTCTTTTCAACGTTACGAATTTGTTTTACAATACATCAGTTCATGTATAAACAGTACCTATAAACAGTATGGAATATTTTGCAAACTTTAGTTTATAACAGTTGCCTGAAGTAAGTGGCTACATTTACACTAGTGAGTCTAAACTTTTCATGAGAAGTATACGTATACTTAAATATTGAAATATTAATTCATAGCCTCTTGTCACGTTAGCAGATCAGTGCATTTTTAGTTTGTTGTGCTTTCCTACATATTAAGCACTGTGTGTAGATGCACGGTTTGAGAGCCTTGACTTGTTAATTGTATGACTGAAGATATATTTCTTAACGTATTTCATCACTGATCCTAACTATACATAATACAATACTTTACATAAATATCTGGGCGTTTTTATGAGCTCCCTCAAAGTCATTATTTCGCTTATTAATACAATTTTAACGCAGAATGCACAGGTAAAACATTGTAAACTGGAGACAGAGAATGCAAAACGATCTCTTTTCAAATTTGTATGTATCGAGCGGCTCTTATCCATGGGGTAGAGAAATACCAAACAAGCAAATCGGTGCAAAAGAAAGTAATACACTTGAAAACTAAACGTTACTAGGTTACAGCTGACGGAATGCTGCACACATTATTCCCAAAACAACTGTGATCTCCTTATGGAATACAAAATCGAACAACCATTTCTTACTTATTTAATTTTAAGCCACCATCAAACATGCTTGCATACTTTCTTTAACCTTTCAGTATATGACAGCAATCGCTGAAAGAATCGAACACTGAAACTATTAACAAAGGAGCCTGTCCGACAGCCGTAGTGAATTTATCTCTGTACCTAGTTTGAAAGATAATTTCTTTACATCATAGTTCTCTGTCGTTGATTGTATGTGGGTTTTCTGAGCTAATATTTGACCATAAACCTTTATCAAATTCTCATTTGCGTACAAGTATTTGGAGAATAATCGGCAGAATCTCTCTGTGGCCCCCCTGTGCTGGTTTTATGGTGGGTTACACCACTCAAGGAGATGTGAGACGGGGTTGGAGAATGCCTTGTGTAGTATTGCCGAAAACTTCAGAAATACATTTTTGTATTGTGGTGTCACGATTCGGACGCTTTACATTAATAGACTAGACTAGGACACTACACAACACTAATAACACAAATACCATTTTGAAAATACGACAAAACATATTGTTATTAAAATTTAAAAAAATTGAATTAAAAATTATTATTGTTTTTAAAAATAGGACAGAATAATAGTGAAATCTTCCCCTTATCCCCGTCATACTATTTCTGTCTATTAATTGTGATTAAACATGTAAATTGTAATAAAACTATAAGTTGTTGTGTCTTCGTTTGTAATTTACAGAGTATCTACGAAATAATAATAATAATAATAATAATTGATTTATAGAGCGCCTATTTCCAAAAGATATTGCTCAATGGCGCTAATATGCGAACATATGCTAAAAATGCGAACATATTTAGGTACATTCATTAATACGATATGTAATTTAGTCATTTTCTCAAAACACAGGATCAGCATCTGAGTTGCTATTGTGATTTTCCTTGTAACGTCTGTGTTGTACAGTCCCACAGTCCCGCTATTAATGTTTATATCTCATGAAATAGAATAATCTTTATGTAATAATATTTAAGCTGATCAAACAATTGTTTTCAATGACGAATCGCATGACTTATTGGCTCATCAACTTCTGAAATGCCGCTCAAACAATCAAATGTTTTCACCACAATAAACATACAATATGCATATCATCTTCATATTTTATCAACGTTTTTAGGAGACCTTTCGGTGTGATATAATTTTGAACATAATATTGTCAAATGCTTCTGCTTGTCCATAAATATTTTGCCAGATTATTCGATGCCATTCCTCAGTGTATATTACCATTTCACCTTTGATACAACAAGCTATTGAACAATAGATTTTACAGTACATAATATTGGCAATTATACCAAACGAATCAATGTTTCCTTTTTTAAGAGATGAAATCAGATATTAAGCTATATATTTATGCTTTAATTTCTGAATAAAGGAGTTAACGGATTTTCTCTCTCTCTCTCTCTCTCTCTCTCTCTCTCTCTCTCTCTCTCTCTCTCTCTCTCTCTCTCTCTCTCTCTCTCTCTCTCTCTCTCTCTCTCTCTCTCTCTCTTCTTTTATTGAAAATAATTAATATTTAATACAGAGTGGATACTTTTTCATGAAAATCACACACTCATGTTTAAGCAGTTTCATGGTATCCTATAAACATATGTGCTCTATTTTTTAGAATTGCAACGTCTTGTATTACAAGCGTCAGTCTTATGGTGGACATATCTACAGCTATGATAGACTCATGTGATATTCAGTCCCTACCCGTCATCTATTCAGTCACACAAATACCCATATCGTAGTGTGAAATTCAAATCACTTGTGAGTTACAAGTATCTAGTTAAAGGAACAGACCTATCACAGATACATCTGTAAGTGCCTGTAGTGCATTATATTAGAGGCGTGTAACAGTGTCCCTATCAAAGGTCGGATCAGCGGGCGGCCATCCCATTCCGCGACTCCACCGTACGCGATAAATATATCAGTAACTACAGTTAGCACCGACTTTGAAGTTCAACTGTAGGTGATTAGACAAGTGGACATGATAATGTTCCATATAACTGGACACATGGACACTGAAACTAAGCTGTATCTAGGCCCACGTTGACACATGTATCCCCGCGAATCTGGCGTTGGGGATTCTTGCATCATGATTCCGACCGGCATTCGCTCGCCCCCCTCCCCTCCGTCACTGATCCTGACTTCCATTTCCTTCTTTACGTAGTTAATAAAATGAGTCACGGTCAGACCACAGCAGATCAAACGGCCTGATAAAGATATATGTCATCTTTATAACATATTACCAAACAGGCACGTGTGCTTTAGATTTGCACGCGCCTTTCATAGATAGAGATCTGAACGACAAAGAGGATTGTTCATAAGAACGGCTGCCGAAACCCCCCTCGACTTACTGACATATATTGCTGTTTATGTTGGGGATGTCAGTGTCACCAAACGGATATGTCCAAAGTATGGATTTCAACTAATTAATGGTC